CATTCACCGTATAATGATAGCATGTCCTTTTAAATCGTTTTCTTGGAAGCTAGAAACAAGCTGCTACTATCATATTTTCATGAATTCATTCAAAACATGGTTGTGTTTGCAAAGGGACATGGGCTGCTGAACAAATCAGCAGTACATTTTCTTTATGTTTCTCTCTGATTTGCGTTAAATCTCCATCGTATTTATCAGGTCCAAGCATCGCAGTTTCAAAGCAACTATGGCGGGCGCCATCATGGCATATTGCTGGAATATCATTATTAAAAGTGTTTCTAGGCGCTTGCCTTGCATTTATGCTGAGTGTCTCAGAGTATCTATTGGTGTCAAATACATCTGGCCTTGCTCTTGCTATTGCTGGGATCTTTAAGGTGCTAACTATTAATGTTTATTGAGTTTAATATACACATTTTATAATTTGTTGAGCGTACTATTAATAATAATGGTATGCTTTTAATTATACTATGAAAACACGTGATTCCTATGATTCAACAAGATCGATGTTCCAGCTTTCGTCCATAATATTTTGTGGAGGACTGGGTTTCCTGTGAATTTACATAATCGGTTAATTTAGGTCTTGATAACTTCATTGGTTATTTGATGTTTGCATTATGATAGTCATACTAACTTATATTTCTATCCAGTGCTAATGCGTTTACTTGTCTTTCTTTCCCTGTGGTTTTTATCATTCAAGTATTCAAGTTTTCACCCTAAAATCATCATGTTTTTTCTTTTGATACTGATAAAAAATCTTATATTTAAACTCCACCAAAGCCATTTAGATAAACTCTTTTTCATTGCAGGAAATTTGTACTTTGACGATTGCAACCGAATTTGGAGGCGATCAGCTAAATGTATTGAATTTCATTGGATTAGTTATTTGTATGTCGGGTATTGGTGTACATGTTTATTTCAAAGCTCTTAAAGGTAGGTTGTCCTTTTTATATTCTTTCATTATCCATTTTCAGTTGTGGTTGATAAGGTCTGGACCGTAACATTTTATAAATATTGTTGGTACTGGTCTCCTATGATTTGTTTTTTATGTTTCCATGAACATCATTAGCAAAATTTTAACATATCGATCTCATCTCTGGTCCAAAAGATGTTTCGAAAAAACCAAAACCTCTTCCTCTGCACAATCTTCCAAAGTCTCCTCGATAAATTCACCAATTCAGTCCAAGAACTTTGCCAAATTTCTCCTTTTTAGGGCTTTTAAACTTCAAAACCCGTGACCTTCTGCTCCTCCTTATACCCTGCCTTGATTCAGACTAAAATAAACAAACGCCTTCTCTTTCCTTGCCTCTTTTCCCGTGTTAGGGCTTTGCTGTAGGGCTCTGGGCCTCTCCCTAACATTAAAGGCATTTGACATGCATAAGTACAGCGAATCCAAAAATAACTTAAGCCAAATTGGCCACAGCACGCGCACAAGAATGCTGTTCTTTATTTCTTACCTTTTGTTTTAGTTTCGATATGTATTGATCTAAAATGTATACATTCTCTTTGAAAATAAACCTTGAAAATATCAAATAAAGCATCACATCAAAATATTTCCCTTGCTTAATATTTGTCACTCTTCTCTGTCTTTATTATTCCGCTTTATGCAGCTTATCATAAACTATTTTCATATCGAAACAATTTTATTTTTATGCTATTTTTTCTTTGTACGCTCTTATTATCTACATCCTGTTTGAAAATAAACTTTGAAAATCAAATACAGCATCACAACAAATCATTTCACTTTCTTAGTATTTGGCACTCAACACTCTCTTTTTATGACTTCCGCTGTATAGAACTTATCATACTATTTTTACCTGTCAAATCAACGTTATTGTTAATGCTATTTTAAATGCCTATTTTTTAAGGCTAAGCTTATTTTCAAAGCTAGTCACCTTCTAATTCTAGCGTGCCTTATAGGTATGAAAGATTTGAAAGTTTATTCTTGTATGTCCTAGATGCGCTTCGCATTTTGTTTACAGATAAATTTACTGTGAGCGTCTACATGAAAAGTTGATACCTCTAATTCAAAGTTATTTCAGCCTACCTTTTGCTTAAATGATCAGATTTGTTTCAAAAGTTAACAAGATTTGCACTTATTACCCATGTATTTGAACTCTTCGGTATGAGGTAGACCACATAAGATTGTATCTCATTTGATTTATACTGATCTTAATGTTGCGGTCCTTCTAAGAACATTGACCTGGTAGCTCATGTCAAATTTTAGGCTTTTGCTCTAAGCCAGCTAAAAAAGGAATATTGAATGTCAAGACACAGCAGTAAGGGTTATTCCGATTTTAATGTTCTAATGAATTAAGGAGTTCATATAGTTAGCCCTGTTGTGAATCATAGGTCCAATTTGTTTTATAATCAGATATCCGTCTGTAGAAATGACTTAACATATTTAGCTAGAATACCTAATATAAGTAGTCTAACCAAGCCGAATATACCCAGAGATGACGCTTGGCTGACAAATAGGATTTCATAGGTTTATTAGTGTGCACATATTGTATCACGTTTTTTCTGGTTGGTGACCGAATGCCCCGTTCTAAATTGTTTAAAGATTTTATCAAGGTCGAAGCGTGTCAAATTGATGATCTTATAGTTGCTATCAGCAAGAATTAAGAAAAAGCAGCTATCACTTTATGATGTTCTTCTTCTTTTTTCTTTTCTCTTTTCAAATTATTTTTCTCTCCCTTTCTTCTTTCTTTCTCGCTTTGTCTCCACTTTCTCACTTTCTTCTTTCCTTTTTCCCTTTTTTCCTTCTTTCTTTCGTTACTTCCTTTTTTCTTCATCCCATCCTTGTTTCCTTCCTTCCTTCTTGTTCCATCCAGTCCATCCTTCCTTCCCTCCTTCTTTCCTCCTTCCTTCCTTCTTATTCCATCCTTTCCTTCCTTCCTTACATCTTCCTTACATCCCTCCTCCCTTCCTTCCTTCCTTCCTTCCTTCCTTCCTTCCTTCCTTCCTTCCTTCCTTCCTTCCTTCCTTCCTTCCTTCCTTCCTTCCTTCCTTCCTTCCTTCCTTCCTTCCTCCCTTCCTTTATACTTCCCTTCCTTCCATCTCTCCTTCCTGCCTTCATTCCTCTCTACCTTTCTTCCATCCTTCATTCTTCCATTTCTTCCTTCCTTCCTTCCTTCCTTCCTTCCTTCCTTCCTTCCTTCCTTCCTTCCTTCCTTCCTTCCTTCCTTCCTTCCTTCCTTCCTTCCTTCCTTCCTTCCTTCCTTTTTCTTCTCCTCACATTTTCTTTCATTCCATTCTTGTTTTCTTCTTTATCTATATTTTTACTTCTCTTCATCTGTATCTTTATATTTTCAAAAATTTGGAATATTTTCGATTACTACACATTTTGCAGTTTTTAGTCACTGTAAAATTGTTTTTCACCGATACGTATATCAAGCCAACAATCCAGCTTATTGAAAATTTTTCTCGTCCAAGGTGTCATGATTTTTATGATTTACAGAAATAGGTTATCCTCGACGAACCAACAAATCACATTACCCATATATCTTAGTAGTTTCTCTTTCTGCAACTATTCTTCTTTCATTTGATATTCAGCTCTTCTTACTATTTTAGAGCCTAAAGTGGGAGAAGATGGAAATATTTTGAAGAATGGAAATGACAGCTTATCTTCTAGAAATGTTGAGTATTTACCCATGCTAGAAAGCAATTTTGATGAATTTTCAGACGATGATGATGATGTTGTTTTTGAGAGTACTTATAGCTAATAAAGTAATTTATAAATTTATTTTCTTGGAAACAAGGATATGGTGAAATGATAGAGTTTTGTAATATCTATAAAATTGTATTTGATAACAGACAGTTTTTTATTGAATGTTCTGTGTAATTGAAAACTATCTTTGTAATTGTGACATATTTTTTGCCAAAGCTAATTTTAAATAACATGCACTATAAAGGAAATATATATGTATACATATTCTAAATATATATTATGTTATTGGGGGTCAGTTTTCATGGGCTATATAAAATAAATTTGAAAGGGTTTGGAAGACTTAGTGTTTTTGCGAATTCCGTCTCAGTCTCACTCTATCAAATCATACGAATTTTTTATACAGGATTAAACACTTCTACGTTTCTCATGCTATCAATATTTGTCCTGATAAACGTAAAATGAAAGTAATGTACCAAAACCTTTTAAAAGTATGTATAAAAGAATGTATAGTTAAAAAACATTTACATCAACTTCATTAACATTATATATTATATATTTAAAAGAAGAAAGTTGAGGTAAATGTTTGCTTAAGATCAGACGGTAAAATCACATGTATATCACAGTGGGAGGTTTTTAAAACAGACACTGTAGTGAAACGTATAGGTTGCATAACAACTATTACTGTCTGTTGCTTGATGATTTGTTTAAGTCTTTAACTCTAGAGAGAATCCTTTTAGACACAAATAATTTGCTTTGCATTTTGTTGTCTTTTTTATCATGTATGTGTGGAGATTTTAAAGATAAGACAGCTTGGGGCAATTTGAGGGAACCTTGACTATACTTATTTTTAATGATAGGTAAATATGTGAGAGATGGTAGTAAAGTTGATCAACCCCTTTTTTCATAAAAATAGTAAAATTGATCGTCCATAACTATGCAAGAAGCTCCCTCTATACCAAATCCCGCCTTTAACTGATAATCGACAGGGAGTCAGAAGCTAAGCTTTCAATATCAGCCAAGACAGCAATCGTTATAAGGAAGCATTGTTGCAGAGAGTCCTTTCATTAATCACAAAAGCCTTTTTAGAAATAAAAGGAGATGGATTTTGTTTTGAAGGGTACTTTTTGCATGTTTTATCAAAGTTCGAAGGCCTTTGACGCCAGTGCCCCCTGATTGCACAGCCCGTGGCTATTAGAATTTTTCTTTTATTTAGTGGGGTTTTTACTATAAGGCAACTTTTCTTTGCTCAATAATTTTAAGAATTACCGAAACCAGGTGCACATATATGAAAATATTTTATAATACTCATTCGATGTATAGGATCAGCTATGCAATCTGTTGATGAAATTTATGTAATGGTATTAATATTGATTAATATTGATGGTATTAATATTGAAAATTGACAGTCAGCATCCTCGTGACAACGGCGATTCAGGTGGTAGAACCTAATAAACTCACTTATCGCTAGTTTATGGGGCTAGTGAATGCTTAGAATTTCACTTGTGTCCTAAGCCATCGATTTGTTGCCTCTAGAGGCGTTTTTAGATTCATCAATTTTAACGTAAGCATAAACTAAAGCAGTGCAACGGCTACATTGAATGGTTTTTAGAATTACATAGTTCTTTTACTGAGCTTGACCCTGGGTTATTACTAAGATAGATTAGCATCGCGTACTACACAACCCCTACCGCATAACCTTTCATTCGTGCAATTTCTAAATGCATGGATTACGCTTACAAAATTCAAGTCTGTTGTTATCTCGTGGCAGCCTCAATGGCTGTCAGCTATTATGTAAGCAATAAAAATATCTAAATTCAACGGACATACCCTAATGTCAGCATTCAAGCTCACAGAATTACTGTTACTTGAATGTCATTTTTTATAAACGTTTGAGCTTCGTCAACCTCTGGGTGACGTTCGTTTTCAGTTCTGCTGCTAACTTCAGTTTCAGTTACATTGCTAACATAACTACATAACGGCCTACTCATTTCATTGTCGCTGCTTATGACTTTATTCGTCACATCGACAATATCGTCATTCTTTTTCTCATTTATTGAGGAGTACGCTTCTTCATTAATTGTGACGTGATCCACTTGACCTAATTGATTCTCTTCCTCTTTATCATTGCCATAGTCATAGTCATTGCCACCAAGTATTTCGTCATCTTTCCTAGGGGTATCGGTGCTATTTTTTCCACTATAGGAACAGTTTTCATGCACGTTTTCAAAGTAGCCGTTTGCTTTTCCAGTATCATCATTATCGCTGAAGTTATGTTCTTCTTCATCGTGATCATTATTGTCGTCTTCATCAACATCATCGTCGTTGTCATCGACACCGTCGTCGTCATCGTCGTCGTTATCGTCGTTGTTTTCCACACCGTCGTCGCCGTCATCGTCATCTTCAACGTCGTCGCTATCATCGTCGTTTCCATCGTCGTCGCTATCATCATCGTTGTCATCGTCGTCGCTATCATCGTCGTCGCTATCATCGTCGTTGTCATCGTCGTCGCTTTCATTGTCGGTGTCATCGTCGTTGCTGTCATCGTCGTCGTCATAGTCGTCATCGTTATCTTTGTCCTGTTGGTCATCGTCGTTTTCGATTTTCTTTTCGTCATCATTTTTATTAAGACTGCAATTCTCTTCTCCATGGTGTTTGTCACAGTTGTCTTCTTCATTAACGATAGACTCACCATCACCTGATGCTTCTTCATAATTTTCCCCTATGCATTTTTTGTCCTCTTTCGCAAGTTCCCTCTTTATCACTTCTTCTGTCCTCGTTTTATCCTTCCCTGAATACAAATTTGTCTCACTTTTGGGGTCTTGAGTTGAGCTTTGATTTTTTTCAAGCATGTGGTCACTATAACTGTGATCATTTTCATTATGAAAATTTATATCTGCTGCTTGATGAACATTTCCTTTCTTGTCGTCTTCCATCTTATTCGTGTGTTTAGCAATTTCTTTTGTTTTGAAATCTTCATCTGTGTTAATTATACCGTCATTTAAAACTTTTATGATTCTCGATGACTTTTGAACACTCTTTAGACTGTCTTCAACTTCTCCAATATACTTTCCAGCTTGGTACTTTCTAGCTCCACTCTGTGGAGAATTAGAGCTCAGTATGACTTCAATTTCTACTGACTCCTCTAACTCCGATGGTGTTGGATATGGATATATTTCTGTATCACCAAATTCATTATCTTCTTGGCTTTTAGGAGCAAAATTCAAGTCCGTTTCCTCATGTGATGCAACCATCTCGGCAAACCGATTTTCTGCTACCGAGTAAGGAACTATTTCCGACACTTCATTTTGGACAGTACTTGCGTCATCACCTATGCCATCCTCGTGTTCAGAAGGAGGCACAAACTTGTCTTCGGTTTGATTATTAAATGGTGTAAACTTTTCTATGGATATTTCATCTTTACCGTTGAGCTTGATGGTACTTGAATCAAAACCCTGGTTTTCAACAGCACCAAGATGTTGTCCACTGCAAGGATAATTAAATACGCATACACCTTCAAAGAAAACTTACAGAAAATGAATTGCATCGCTTTTCCAATGCTGAAACTCAAACCATAGTAACTTCGACAGATGTTCATTTTTTTAAGCTATGTGACATAACTGCCCCCAAGAGTTTTACGAATACTGTTGGTTGGTAGGGTTTCAAGATAAAGGCTTTAGAATCAGTCCTTGATTAGACTACCGTCCAACGCTCTAAGGTCGTTTCCTCAATATAGAAAGTGTGTTCGAAAGATTTTGCTTACGCCTTTTTTGCAGTATAAAAAAGGAATTTCATATAAGAACAACATATATTTTTAACCTGAAGTAATTAAGTTGGACTGTGGAAGAAAACACCCCCCCCCCCACAAACAAGTTTTCAAGACTTCCAACGTTTCCCTTGTCCCTCGTCAATTGCCAGTCATTCATAATTGACCTGCATGTTCACACCTTTCTTGGAAAACGAACAATGAAGGAATTAAATTTGCACAAAGATGAATCAAACTCAGATGGCCTAAAATAAACAGCAATTTCAAACTGACTTCAGAATATCACGAGTGGTCGATATTTTTGTCACAAAATCGTCAAGGGAATGTGCAGGTTCTTGTCTCATCGTGAAAAGGCAATTATGACATATTATCTTTATTTTGAAAAGCCTATAACTGTCTCTGTTAATATACAGTTGAAACTTACGATAATCGTGTTTGCTTCCGATTTAACCGATTCCGAAGTCGGCCACAAATACCAGTTAAACATCCCATCTCCAGTTGAAAACCCAACAGTATCAAATAATTTTCTTCGACCCTGGATCATCCCACTCACATATGTTTATGAGCTACGACTATGCTTTGGACTCCAGGTTTCTGGTAGTTTGGACCACGTCGATTCAACAACAAGTGAAAAGGTGAATGCATCTTTCTATTCAGAAAAATGTTGTTTGCTTAATGAACTGTTCTTGTATTTAATGTTTGCTTGATTGTTTGCCAAACTCTTTGGGACTTTGCCCACATATTCTTTGTAATCCTCACTTTGTTTTGATTTCAGCTAGGCTAAGTTTCCAATTTCGTTTTTCTGCTTCTCCCAGTCTCAGAAACAAGGCCAGTCAGGAACCTTAGGATCACCTGTTAGTCCCAGGAGGGGTATTTTAATACATTTCGGATAGGGGTGCTCAGGTTGGGGTAAAAACCATCAACCCTAAAAAATTTATTGCACAAAAATAGACACAAATACTAATTTTTCTCATCCTGCACAAAAAGGTTGTCATATTCAAGACCCAAAAAAATTATTCATAATTTTTTTATAAGCAAACAAGGAACTAAGTGAGATGAGAGCATCAGAGATCTGTAAATCTAGACCATTATAGATTTTTACAGCTTCTGATAAGTAATGTACGTGGGCAACAGTCCAAACACCCAAGTCTCCTCGTCCGTCTATCGACTGAGACCTATAATTTGCCCCCTCCCCCATATTTTTCCGCCCCCCCCCCCCAGGCCTGTAATCAAAACGCAGATAATTTTCTGGTAAAAATTTACAAACATCCTGATTTCTCTTAAATTGTAACTGAAAATATAGCCATTTGAATTCGATTTTTGGATTACTCCACACAACTGGGAAAGCAGTTCTGCAGACAGTGTAAAATACTTTTCATTTGTGCCAATGCCTTACTTTCCATAAACTGTGAGTAAAGATTCGCCTCTGAAGTTTGATAAAACTCGACTTATTTTTTTTGTATTTGTTGCTACCTAGCATCCGAAGGTAGTTTTTAGGACACTTAGAAGCTTATGCTTATAGAGCAGTGTCCTGGTCCTTCCTCTCGATGTGACCACACCTCGTGATTCCTACGCCTGGAATTACAGAGAGCTGGCGACTCTCCTCACTCTCGATGAAGGTTTGGTCATGCCAGAGACTCGAGCCATGGACCCTTGGGTCTGTAGTCAGCGCCTCTAACAACTGAGCCATCCTCGCACCTTACTGAGCGCAATCCATTCGTGGAACTTGGAAAGCCTCTTCTGTTATATTTTGTTACAGTTTTGAAACTGTCATTAGTAGCATGATCGTAATAGGAATTATAAAGTCACTGGCTTAACTAGCAAATCCTATTACGATTAAACAAACACCCAAGCAACAATCAAGGACGTTGTCCCGTTGCTTTTGCTTAAAGAGGTTTTTTACAGTGAGTCTCGTTTTCATTATAGAAATGGCGCTTTCTTAATTGGTCACGTCAGCAGATCTTTAATGCGAACCATTTTCGAATATTGACAGAAGTTGACAATGAATCGTTGCTGGCATCGCCGTCCGTTTACTGTAAGATCTGAGCGGAAAAGAATGCAATCCTAGCTGATTTTTCAGTTTACATCTGAAGATGACAATAGTTTTTGATTGGTACTGGTGAGTCCTATTTCTTAATCATTTTATTTTTAGTTTTAATTGTTTTAGTGAGAATATGCTGGCCGACAGCGTTACCAGGTACCATGTAGATTGCCAAATCCATCTCCGGGCTTCTATTGCTTAAAAAAATCAATTTGTAAAGGTACGAAAATTCCTGCTCATAATCTATTCGCCTTCATAATAGTCAAAAGAGACGTATGTAGCAATTTGTCATTCTGAATGTGAATGTTTTATGAAATTGGCCCTTGATGTCTCTCGTGTCATGAAATTATCAAAACAAGCTAAGAGCAAGTGTTAAGAATTTCCGTTTCTGTGGAATAAATTCAAAAGCAATTAAAGATTTGATTGAAATTAAGAAAATTTATCTCAATCTTTAATCCAATCAGACTTTGAATAAGCATTTTAATTTGTAAATCCATATTGAGAAAGAGTAGGATACAAAAATAGTGATATGAAACAGACGATCGTGGATCCAAACAGCCGGTCACATTTCAACCACTTTAGCGAGATAGATTGAAAAAAAAGCAACTATGTAGCTTACAACATTGACTACAAATATATTCCTGGTCTACAGATCCGCGTTTTTTTGTAATCTACTTATATTCGTCTTTAAGTACCGGATAACCTCACTCAATTGAAAGAAAATTGGTCTAGACATTAATCTTATCAAATACTGGTCATATGAGGTCCAGCTTCATAGCTAAACTTGATTTTAAATTCCCCATAAGATTAAATGAGTTTTGTATGAAAATTGCTGATCAAATTTAAAATTGGTCAGCAAATCTCATACTTAACCACGTATTTCTTGTAGTTAATAATATAGTAATTGTATTAAATGAATAGAGTGTAAATCTTTTATAAGGCCCTGTTTATGTACCCTCGTTAGAACAAAATAATGTTCAGCTAGCCTAGCTTCGCGGAAATTTTACTCGGTAGAAGCTTTGCAAAAATCATTGATAACAACGGCTATACGTAAAAATGCACTCGCCATAAATCAGACATTTTTCTCTTGAGTTAAATTCTCTTTATTTTAAACCTTTTTTATCAACAAATCATTTTTGTTCTGAAACATCAATAAATCTACGACGGAGGGATTTTAAAAAGCTGTCATATATTAGGAAGACGGCTCATAGAAAAACCAACGTTACCCTTCTTATGTATAATGTGTGCATGATACACGTACTTACAAGGGGCTACAATAATGATTCTGTCTTTCTATATAATATAAACCTTTTGATAAATATATTCACCTAAAATACAATAATTTACATTTGTTTGATAGAATCAAGTTTACTTGCGTTCATCCAATGCGTATTCTATATGAAATAAATTACAACACAAATTAAATAAATTAAAAAAGGCAATTAGCAGAATTGTCTGCAGACCATGTCAATTCTAAAATTATGTTTTTGGAGCTTACACAGCCATCTTTGGTCAAAATATCTGGATTTTGGGTTTATCTCAACTATTGTTCGTTTTTTACTCTTGTGATCTCCTCTGAAGCTTTTTTGTTTCCAAGAAAAGCATGTTTTAATTGTAGATGTCTTCTTGAAGGAAAAAATGCAAAGGCCTCTTTGTAGGAAACAAGCACTGCTTGGCTCGATGGGAAGAGGGGCTTTAATTTTACCACCCGTTTATGATAAAACCTTCACGATTTTGCAGTTTTGAAGAAAAACATGGTTCATGGGAACTTCTGCTTCCTCGACCCCTCAATTTCTCAATGTATTGGTTTTAAGTTATGCAAAGCCTTTCAAAGTATAGTAATCTTTATGTAGGGCCCTTAAGGACTTCTAACAGTTAAAACAACAATACAAAAACGACCTTTTAATTCTTAATAAGGTAGTGAATCTTGCCATGGTTTTGTTTCTTTTGGAGGAAATGATTACAGTTTCCGGATGATGTTAATGGCACATGCATGACATGGGTTGATATGTGATGCACTGCCAAACCATTATGCTTGACAAATCCTGGACTTGACCTCAAAAAAGTGCATAATAAGATGTTTCTTTGTTGGTAACCCAGGGAACGGACTAGCACTGAATAATTATCTACGATCTACTTTCCAATCCATTGTTATTATCAATATATCATATTACTACCATATTTACTTTACAATCCATCACTTGAAGTTAAAAACACATCAGAAAGCGCTAAGTCTTTAACAGAATCTTCAACAAACCAGCACACCTCATATGTAAGGTAATGAGTTACTCATATCTCTTTTTTTATGAGCTACAGGTACCATTCAGGCTACATTTGCTTGTCTTTTCAATTAAGGCTTAAAACCAACAGTGAAGCTCTATTAAAACAAGACGAGTATCGGTATCAAGTCTTCATGCAGTGTTAAGAAGACCATTTCTGATCACTGCTGATCCAATAACCGTTTGATATCCAATTTGAGCGATGTGCGCTTTGAAACAGGGAATGTTCTCAGAGAGGGAAATTAGCAGTTGTTAATTCGTGGGCGAGTTTCTTTTTTCTATAAGTCCAAACCTGCTGTCTTTTTGTAAGTTTAGAATGGTGCTTTGTAGGCTTAATGAGCTGCTGAGAAATAAAGCCCTTATATTACGGAGATTATTCTAAAGAGCGGTTTTAAATTCGCATTTACAGCTTAGAGACAAGACAAGTACCTTGGTAGTATTAGATCGGTAATCCTGCACACATATCCGACGAATAGCGCTCGTGTCAGTTGAAATTTCTGGCTGCAGTTTCCATTGTCAAATAAGCATTAACTATTTAGGAAGTATATACAATCAAGGATGATCGCAAGGAAATTATCAGTCGGTGATTATACGATACATTGTTTATTCAATCTGTTCTTGATTGCCCCTTCTGTGCTCAAAGGAAATCTCCCAGTAATACTGAATCCTATCGTCTTCTGAAACCTGGATGCTAATCGGTAGCTTGAGATACTTGAGCATTCTCTTGTTCTTCAATCCGCAAGTACTGTGAATTCCTAGTTTGCACCGACTATAGATTTAATTCATGACATCAGATGATCCTGGATGTTATAACACCAGCAACGTATCTTCCATCGCTCAGAATTCGAGTTGGTGACGTCAGAGCTGACACTAGTGCCAGATTCGTTGAGTTATCTATCTGCACGGCCTATGTGAAAACCTCATCGTCGCCTTCATTGCAGTTTATGTAAACATCTTCAGTTTTAATTGGGGTTGAAGGTGCGAGTTCTTGAATTGAAAACCTCACGCTTCTCTTAGGCCTAAAATTCTTTTTCGAATAGTTTTCATCGCTACTTTCTTCGCTACCGTAGCTCGAAAGGCTTTTTCTTGAATCACAAGATGACGAAGAATCAGTTATAAATCCCGCATCTGCATCAACGCTCTCTCTGTCACTTTGTGATAATCTGCTACTATTACTTCTTGCCTGTCGTATTTTATTTAAGTTTTTTGGATGCAAATGGAACTGTAAATAATTCGAGTCACTTTTACTGTCACTTAAAAGTGATGTTTGTTCACCATTTCTCATATGTTCCTCTTTTGAATTCCGTATGTGAATTAAACCAATAATTTCACCCGGATCATCAGCCTCGAACTGATCACCCTCGGATCTCGGCCTCGAGCCCATAACAAACTGTCTCTTGCTCTTAAGTATGCCTTTAGGTTTTGCATAGCTCGACGTGCTTCCACTGTCGCTCTCATCTCCCACCTCGAGGTATCGTGATGTTTCAAACGAGCTGACAGAGCCCTCAGATTCAGAGACCATTGGTTTTCTGAAAGGGCTTGGCACTTTAATAATCTCGATTTTGTTCACATCTGAAGACGATTGGTATTGCCTACTGTCACTGGACGGTGACAAGCTGCCGTTGCTTGGTGGCTTCACCGAGTAAGTGCTACCACACTCTGGGTCTTGCTTCAATTCAATTGTCAACTTTTTGTTAGACCTGAATAGTCGCTGGCGTATAACAGCAAAGATCAAAAGTATGGTGAGCAGAGTCAAGCTCGATATCAAAGCTATCATAATATAAGTTTGTTTATTGCTCAAGGAATTTTCTGGCTCTTCTGCAGGTCTGTCTATCAGCAAACTCCTGCTAGTGCTCTTGATGAGACCTCCAAGCCTGGTCTTGCTGATAACAACAGACAGTGCACTAATTGTGCTTGCGTTTAGTGAAATGTTACGACGCGATGCTTCATTTGTTTTCGCCTGGAAAGATATACGATCTGTTGCTGTCGTCGGCGAAGCAAAAGTCCTGGTTTTTGTAGCCGATGTTGGTTTTGTACTTCTTATTGTACTAGATGTTTTACCAATAAGCAAGAGTTTTCGGGTAGTATGATCTTTAGTGTGTGTCTGAGTTTGCGTTGTAGTTGCTGAAACAATCGCAGGTGACGAGCTACTTGCTAAAACAGAAGCAAGTGTGCTTTTTGGTTTCTTGGTAGTTTTTGCCTCCTCGCCGTAACATTCAAGTGAACCTAGCCTGAACATAGCTGAAGGATTAGTGTACTTTTTGCTGAACTGAACTCTTGAAACAGGAAGGTCCCCTTTGTCAAGTAAATATCCACCATCAGATCTCCATTCCGTATCCATGCTATCGCAGTTGCATTTTAATTTGTGATCAGCGCAGTTCCCTGCAACGCCACAAGCACAGTTGTAGCCATCCTTTGTGCCACCACCCCAGTAATTCTGTATTTTACCCTCTTTGGAATACCATCTTGCACCGTATCTGTTTGCTATGGCATTTTCTTTGTCATTCGAAAACATCAACGTTGATGACGAGCAAGAAAACTCTATGTATTGTCGACAATTCCCACTAGATGAAATGATTTCATCAATCTCTCTCCTTCTTATACTGTACTTTATTTCGTGATAATAATAGTCTGTGTCGGAACTTCCGGTCTCGTAAATTGCCCTGAGCTGTGTCCCTTGTCTAGGTCGTACCACCGTGACTGGTCCTTTAGGGTCATCCATCTTGCAGAAGACAGTGAAGAGCTTTTTGCCCGGCATGATCACGTACAGCCCGTTCTGGTGCTTTCCGCTCCTGAAGTACTCTTCACAGGATCTCTTGTACTTTTTGCTACGCGTTGAACAAGTTGGACCATCATATCCAGTTTCTGAGCAATTGCAATGCGATCCATTATGAGTCTGCATGCACCTTGCTCCATTTTGACACGGATTTGGATAACAATAATCTTTCATTTGAGAAATTCCGATGCTAACGCCGCTAAGTTTTGAAGCGTTTAAGTACGTAAACTTTTGATTATTCAAAGTAATGTTCCACATCCAGCCGTGAAAAGCTCTCGTGACACGTGCTTGTTTTCCAAACACCAATGATTTGCCGAGATTCGAGTTAGTGTTCCTTTTCAAAACGTTGACCCTGGAGACTGACCCAACTGTTAGTGAAGCGAGGTCTTTCTTGATGTGTAACTTGATTTCATGCCATGATCCAAAATCTATATCTTCTTTCGGTCGTATTGAGATAACAGTTGAGCCCTGTACTCGTAGCTTAACCACGTTTTTTTCAAAATAGAGTGTAAATCCCATTATATTTTCAGAAGCATGTTTAACAGTCGGCTGATTAGAGATCTCGTTTGTGATCAAAACACCGTCCTGGTAATAGGTTCTGAACAATAATCCTATATCCACGGAGGCAGCTAAAGGATTTGTCCAATCCACATATGAGTCTTTCTTATGAAAGTTTATGATGTCAAAATTCTTGCTGCCCTGGCAGTGCCACACTAGCTGTCTGTTTTGCTTGTGCAGGCTCTGAAGAATATCCATCTCGTTCAAGACGACGTAATTCAAACAGCCCGCGTAGTTTCTCTTTGATGCCACTGGCAGAAGCGTTTGCTGTTCTAGCAGTCCACCGATGACAACTTTTTCATCAAAGTTGTACCTGAATTTGGTCTTTGCGATGAATGGCTCTCCTATGTCCACTTTGGCGTATGTTGTGTCTTGGAGAATCTTTAAGTTCACTTGATGCCATTGGTTGTCACAGAGATTGTCTTCTAACAGGATATCTTCATAGCTTGATGCAGTGAAGTTCTGCTTAGTTCCCAGAACGATTCTAGATAACACAAACAAATAAATGATTATATCATCTGAATTCGTAGATATCTTCTAATTCAAAACTCGCAAAAGTGATGATTTAGGCATTCCGTAGATGGGTGCAGTTTATGAATTTTTTGCTGACTTTCAAGAATTTTGCAAATACAGAAATGTTTCCTCAATGACCATAGAAAGTCCATGTTTAATTGAAATAATGCCTCACACGTCTACCGTGTTGAACAAAATTTTTAAGGAAAGATTTCGGAAAACATTAAACAAGCAGTATGACTATACTGAAAATAGCAATAGTTTTCTGTTAGCTAGCTGTTACCCAGAGATTTGCTCAGATATTTTAAGCGTGCGATTGTATTCTGGAAACCTTTAGTCGAAATTTTCTTGGTTTTGATGATTTAGTAATGACAAATTATCAACAGAAATTTATCTATTGAACCTATCTTACTACCATCAATAGCAATATCATCTTCATTAGTTTTCTAAAATTGATTGACTATTGGGGATTGTCATTAAAAATTATCCACCATATATGGCAATAGCAGACATTACTTGCCAAAGATTCATTTGATGAAGCTACCAATGTTTAGACTATCGATAATTATTTTCTGTACACATTTTACTCTCCATCTGCTGCTTTTGTTAAAACCTTGTGATTCTACTGACAATAAAAAGTAATCAAATCCATAGGAATACACATATTTTATGCATCTTTCCAAGAATGGTTTATCATCAACTTTTGAACACAGTAAAGACATGACTTTGATAATTAGTGTTTCTTTGTAGTAATTAAATAAGATTGGGTTACGCAGAGAGCAAAGTCAATTGATTTGGCAAATTACTTTACCATTCAGAGTAGATGAGAAAGCTAAATGTATATTTGAAAGAAAAGATTGATTTTTGTGAACTATGGATTTTATTTGCTCCTAATCAAAACATGACTCTTATCTATAATCAATTCATCACTACAATCAGCGCGAGTCATAGTGTTACTTACGAAAAATTTTTAAAATTTTGATGCAAAAATCAAGGGAAGTGTCACTTGACATTTAAAATTCAATGATTTAAATAATAGCAACCTTATTAGTGAAAATAGCCAAAAAGATAACACTAAAAATCAATTGTGGAAACAATTCAGTCATTGTAGAAACTTAAGCACACCTTCTGGACTTCATGAAGGCAAGGACTTTGCCAAAGTTTTGTCATACCATGGTGTGGTGCAAGATTGAAATTTATATAGCAAGCCTGGCATTTGATAATGTTGATTATCATATGTAAACATTTTTGTTCCTGTTGTAGCTAAAATACCTTGGCTTAAGCATTCATGTTTTGCTAGAATTCTCCAAATCACGCTTATGCTGCATCTGGTGATGAACTCTTCTACTCACTTTACTATTCGTTCAGTGCTAAAGCCTTTGTACTCAATGGAATTGCTATACACTCGCTGGCCACCGCTGTCATTGATACATAGTATTATTTGGTTAAGTTCAGTTTGTCTCGTGTTTCAGCTGGGTTTACAAGATTAGCGTTTTTTAATAAGCTATTCTTTGATTAATCCGCATACTTGGTCTCAGTTACACAAAGAATTGGGGGTGAAATTATCCTTTCTATTCCCGCTTCCTCTCATATCCTTCGCAGATGGTTATGGTTTGACCCGTAGAAATAGAGCGTACAGGTGTTCTCCCATGTGCATGTTTTTGCTTAATGGGAGGATTTTTGAAACACAGTTGTCACCTTCTACGTATGAAGCTACTTTGCAATAGATGCAGGTTTTATGGATGTTGCGTTGGATAATGAAAGTATTTCAAAGTATAAGCTTTGCCAGTTTATGCTATGTCTATATTTTCATGTTTCGCTTATTTGTATGAATTTGGAAAACTGTAGCTGGCAGGCCTAATTTGTCTATAATACGTAAGGATGTCTGTTAGTGCCGAAATCTAGACATCAATTTGATAAACAAGGAAGAGTATTACGTATGAAGTACGGTTGTTGCTTACGATGCGGTCACGGAAATCCTTACAATAGCTGAAACGTTTCATTGAAAAATAGGCAGCGGTGTCTTAGCGTGCAAGATACGTCACACTGTCTAGTTATAATCAAAGTCTAGAAATGTTTGTGGCGATTGCAAAATAGCATTATAAGTAATACAATATAATGCTCCGTGCATTCAATTAACAAAGCTTTACGTTTGATAATAAAGTCACAGGATCTAAATTTCTCAGATTCTCTGCTAATGTTTAATTTAGGGTTAAGTACAATTAAGAGTTTAATTCATTTGACATTTGATTTAAATTGTTGTTCTGAAGATAACAGTCACAAGACAATAAAGTTCTCCAGTAGACTACAATCCCGGACGATAATGGTTTCGACTTTTCAACAAACGTTGATGCTTTCATTCTCTTTTCAAAAATAAGTCCCCCCTCCCCTGATTTAATGTTGAATACATGTTTTGAAGATAGAAATACTATTTCTACATTGATTTGGAGGGAAAGGGAAATTTCGAATTTAGTGGGGCAACGTCTCTTTTTACAAACAAACAATTTTGTCCAGGATTTTAGCCTCCTGGAGCGTCCATGTGATTTTATCTTCACCTAATAGCTCTATCACTTGCTTTTTGACATCAAATCTTATTTCTAAATTCACAAATTGGTTTTTTATAATTTGGATTTTTTTTATAATTATTGGCTGCCAAAAGGTTTTTAATGTAACTATTTACATTGAAACATTTGGGCAGCCAATAAACCCCTCGCTGCTTAATGCTGTATGCACAACCAAATATAAATATAGGAATAAATGTAAAAATAACAGGTTTATAAAAAAATAGTAATTGTCTGAAGATTCGTTATTTTCCACCTTTTTCAATTATATCTTTCCATAGTTTCTGATCAATATCTTTAACGCTGCACTAAATTAACCTTTTAACGAGCCATGTTGGGAGATAAAGCATAAAGGAAGTGCAAAGGATAGGTGCATGTATTTCGTACTTCTATGTGAAAGCATTATACGAGATTTAAACCCTGGTTGCCACACACGCCGATTCATGCTTTAATTGCAGATAAAAATCCTTTATTCAACTTATTTTCAAACCATAGAGGTGTTGTATGTCCAGGTTTACTAGATACTTTATTTTCGATATTTTATGGTTGGGTCACTTAATTGGATTTCAATAAAGAAAAGGAATTTATCTAGGCGTGCAAAGTGGGTACATGTTATTTTAGGAATCATCTGATTGGCCAACCAGCTTAGCCTTAAATACCAGCTTGTTACGTCATAGAGTATGCAATTGTATTTCATCCATATCAACTCGTGTCAAAAAAGTTGTTTTGCAATTTTTAATCGCAATAGTCAAGTCATGATTTTTGCACTGGCAAAAACTAGACTCGTGCGTTTAAGGCATTGATGCAAAAAGTGTTAGAAAATTTCTAAAACATGAGTATTTGTAAAGAAATAGAGAATTATTGAGAAACATAGATTAATCAGAAGCAGACGTTTTGTGAATTGGGCGTGTACATTTCTGATTGTTCGCAATAGAAAGACCTTCTCTGGCATGGCTTCTATAGATTTGAATACGATAAGTCATTCAGCCACCCATTGCTCAACCTGTTTAGTGGGTAACACTGTGTTGATCCTCATTTCGCTGTCTTTACAACTCAAGAATATGTAGTTTAGAATTGTTTTGGTAACAAAAAATCGCCAATGAAATGATATATTTGAGTGATTTTCAATATCCTGTTAAACAGGAACATGTAAAGCAGTTGCAGTAACTGTTCTAGATAATAGAAGCGAAATAATCAATTGTCACTGACGATTTTTTCATAAATCAAATAATTTTGTAATCGAAATACTATCTGAATAGACTTCCTTTGGATTGTGTACACCTTTTTATTTAAAAGGATAAGAAATAGCAAGATCTTCAATTCATTCAAAATGCTATCACATGAAGGCTTGCCGAAAGACGGGTTTCAAAGGCTCAATGCTAGCATGATTTGAATTTGTAAGGAATACCCGCGTGAGATTTTTTCTTGTTTTCCAGTGAAATTTAAGGAAAAGGTCATGAGAGTAAACCGCTACTTTTATTTGCAACTGAAATTCAATTTCGCTAAATAAGGTAAACATAAACAATACCATCAAAGCCTTATTTTTCAGTTGTAAACGTTGATAGGAAGGAGGTCAATCGAAAAACAACAATTTGTTATGTTCTTGCGCACGGTGCTGCCGAACGAACGAGCATGTCAAATAAATGAATGTCTAAAATAGGACTAAAGGAATCAATTTCACAGGAATCTGACTAGCGTGAACCATAATTTTTTTTTACCCCAGCCCCTTCCTCTTGATGTGCTGTTGAAATAGATTGTAAAAGTTCGTGAAGATGAATACAGTGTTTCTTTATTTAATTTTTAAAAATGCTCTCTACATATTTGTACTAGTCTACTAGTAGACTTTTCATTTAATAAGGATTATCAAGTCATAGATGCAGTACCGTTTTTGAAATATTTATAGACAGAATCTATTTAAGGTAACAAGCGCAAAATTCTTGACATAAAGCATTTCCTGCAGTTGCCATTGACTTGATATAAAAATATCAGGCCCTTACAAATGCGGTTACAACTTCAATACAAATTAATTCATTCACATCAGCTTTATTGAATCATTCTTGGTTATGGGTAACGAGAACTATGAAACAAGATGACAGTAACAACCCCTTGTAAAATTAGAGCGAGACCCAAATGTTTTACCTCCTCTAATTTACAATCTGACAGATTGAGAACTGGATTGTACATGCAATGGTTTTCCCCTTCGATTATTAATTCACAAGAATAAATTTCATATGAGTGCTAGAGCATAATTTTATAGAGCAAAGAAGATCGCTTATGAAATGCACGGCCAGCTCGTGGGAAAGGAGACTATAGGGAATGTTGTATCGATTCCCGTCTTGATTCTTTTATCAAACAGCAAATAAATACGAAAGCATTTTATGAATTTTTAGATTGGTATCTCTCCTTTAACGTCCTCTCAAATAGTAATTAGCACTTGGTTCTAGTTATCTTTTCGTTGGCTGTCTTGAAATTGATTTGAACCTAACCATAAGATTAGTTTTTTATGATTACGGCTTTTGGGTACTTTTTAAGCCCTACTGTGGATGAGATGAGATGAAAACTTTTCCTAAAAAACATATCTAGCTCCAAGTTTCTTTTGAAAATATGTACTGCAGTATGGTTTTAAGATATGCGTGACAATATATTTATCGAAAAACTGAAAATCAATTACTCTCATCACTCATCTAGAATGCGTCACGAATAATGTTCGTATGATCTATGCATAATTTTGAGAATCCATATGCAAAAACGTTTAACAAGCTTTCTTTACAGCAGATGCAAACAAATCATTTATCATTAAATCTTTTATGGTCATAAACTTTATCATCTTTGAACATACATTAAACGTAGCTAAATTTCTTTGTCACTGGTGTGCTTTAACGCAATTTCTATTTATACATAAAAGCATGCTGTCGTTATTATTGTATTAATATTTTATATCTTAATCATCATTTCATTATGATAGTTTATTGACATGCTTAAACATTTATATTTACCCTGTCTCGTTCATCTTTCTAAGTGAAAGCATCTCACAAAAGAGAAAACAGATGTCTCCTGTAACATGTGACAACTATTCTGTTCACTAATTTCTGTCAATTTTCATCAGCCAAAACTATACGTGATTGAATAAACTCTTTTTTTAAGGCTGCAAAGCTCTTTCTAGAAACGCTTATATCGATAAATGATGTAATAGATAGCTTGCACGAGCTTCTTTCTTAACGTTTCGTAATGCTCACCGAACTACTTTATCTTGAACTATGGACGTGCTCAACTTAGGGTATCTGCAAATTTCAACATACTGATTTTTAAAAGGCGGTGACCAAATAACCTTAAAATTAAAAGGTAATCGCTAGGCGTGTTTACGAGATATTTTTGAATATTCTATGAAATATTGCAGATTTTCTCTTGTGAACCCAAGCTTATGTGTATAGTTTCAAGACCCCTCCTCACTAATCCCTTTACGTAGGCACAGTTTTCCTGCCTCTTCCTGTGAATATAGCATGCAAAGACTGCTGCAGCTCGCTCTGATATATTGATATGAAACATTATGGTAATTTTAGTTATGATTTCTCGTGCTTAAAGCTATAAATCCGTTAATAGGTGGACAACTGATAGTTAATCCTCTTAGCCCTCGCACATGGCACGTGCAATCACTTGTAGATTGTGTATATTCGCATTCAACGCCTTTATGGCATGTTTGCCTCGGGATTTTAACGTTAGTATTCTTGGACGCAAACATTGACTTGCATCATAGCGGATTCGCAAACCCGAGAGTTTATGCGTATCGTTGAGAATATCCATGGAGACTAGAGTGCATTCAATGGCCTTTTGGTTATCTAAATGTTGCTAAAAGCATGTTTAGGTAAGCATAATGGTGTCAACTCCCATCTATCTACTATATTTTTTATTAGAAAATAATCCTAAACATTTATAAACACATTGCTAGCTTTGGGACCCTTGTTTCATTATCACGGGCCGTTGCATTCTATTTCTTTCGGTTCGGTTATATATTCTGTTGATCAGTTTCTCAGTATGGCGAACAGTAATGTTTGGCCACATTGAATTAACTTTGTCAAACGGGCAAATCTTTTTATTAAGGTTAAAGTCATTGCCTCTTTGATATCGCAGCTTTCTATGCCATTTTTAAAGTCATTCCAATTAAACTGACCACAAAATGTTTCTCCTTTTAAAACCATATATCCTTTCCCATTTTAAATGAATTTCAGCGTCTGTTGCTTAATCTCTTTTTTCTTCTACCTTATATTATAACACCCTTTATATATAATATACTTTGTTTGAAAAATCGTTGACCTCAAACCATTCAATTACTTGAAAATTACCGGATATTGTGCAATAAACAATAATTGCAATTTCATACCTCAGTTTTCCTCGAATCATTTCGATCAGCAAGTTGTCCCCACTTTTGCCAAAAGCCCACAAAAGTACTCCTGAAGGATGAATGGTTTTAAAAAGCAAAGTGAATGTGAAATCCTTGTTTCCTTTTATTTGACTTCCAGCCAGTTCTAATTGCAGTTTCTGATTTCCATCTAGTTTCAGTTCAAAGTCCTCTTCTCCCTTCACCGTTGACAAGGCAATTATGATGCCGAATATCCACAAGAGCAGCATTTTGTATCCAATTTTATGTTTGCTGTATTTCACACGTAGACAAGCATCATCATTTCTATCCAACGAGAAATCGTCGACTGAATTCATCACAGCATCCTGTTTTTGTTGCCATTCTAGACGAAGGCTTGAGAAAAACATGCATTCAATTTGAGCCTGCTTCATTTAAAAGACACCAGTCCGCATTCGAATTTCATAAATTTCTCAAATTGTATATTTCTCAGTTGGCAATACAATAGGCGAAACGGTTCAGCAATATTCTAAGAGCGTCTAACCAAAGCGCGTACAGTTTCGTAGTTGCTGTTTTTGTACCTTCCATGCAAGTGCTCAGCAAATGTACCGTCCAGCTTAACTATTGTTTCTCTGTCCGGGCTCTCGATGTATAAATTATTCACAGGCAATTTTATATCGGTCGCTGGCAAGCCAGATGTTAAGTAAATCACTGAGTGTCACTATGTCTTGTTCGCGCAACAAATGGGATTACAGCTAGAAGCGATTGGTTTACGCCATGTATTACTACTTTCTATTCAAAACAATTCCTTTGATGACTCGTATAAAGGACGTTTACTATTAAGTAACTTGCAGTCGAAACAAAGCAGTTAAGTTGTAGTTTGCCTTGCAATTACACCAGTTACACCTCTTCGTAGGGCAGAGCCTTGCACCTGCAGTAGCTACTTAACTTCGATATCACATTACATAGTGTCATCGTTCGTTCTATTCTTAATGATTCACAGTTTAGCAGCTCAATATTCTCAATGCAAATTAGGAGAATGATCGGCCATCGCTTTTGTATATCGAGAGATCTGAATAATCTCAACAATTCTTCTGTCAATAAAGAATTTAAAAGTGTATCTTTAGGTATCAAAACAATTTTTGCGATGAAGATGTTTTTAGCATGAACAAGTAGTTCTGTTATTAAACCAGACAATATGCGAACTAATCTTTGACTCCTTTCATCGATCGATATTGTTCCATTAACATGATTAAATCAATTTTTACTTCAGTGGTCGAGTATTCACACTGTATCCATTTATAATTTTCATCAATTCACTCCTGTTGCGACTGCATCAATCTAAGCACCAATCTTCGGTTTGACCTTAATGTCTTAAAGAATATCAATCCAGGTTCACTCTACTTAATAAGTAGCATGCTAGGACCACCCAGATTTTTTGCAATCATTCGGTGACTAGTTGAACCAACATCCCACTTTTGCAGCGAATGATACAGTTGACTCGGTCGATCAATTCTCCCGAATTACGCTGGATGGCAAGCAAGCGTCACTTATTTGGTTTTTATGTCATTCTTTGGCTGATATTAGATGTACCTATCGCAACATTTGCTAGAAACACGCTGAGTTCAAGGTGCGTTTATTTACTTAGTTTAATCACAGCAAGTTTCCGTATGCAGTTGGTAACATATTTTCATTAACAATGCCCAGAAGAATAGCACTTTTTGCTTTGCATTTCTCTTGATCTATTGCAATTTCACTATTGCCTGTACAACAGCTAGCTTTTTCCGTCCATTGAATAACTAAGTTTTCTGTCTCTCTGTTAGACTTTACATTTGCGTTTTTTTAAGTTTATTCAAAAAAGAAACAAAAGCCCACATCTTCCGTTTAGCATTGATCTGCTGATGCAATGATTTGTAAATATTTTCCTTTCTAACCAACTTTTAGATTTATGTCTCCGCTTCGTACAATGCCTTGTTTACTTTAATGATGTTTGCTAGGGTATTCTAGCAGTTTCCATTATATGTACAGATGATTAGCACTACCGCACGAAATCAGGCATAGCTTGCAACATAACCATAATTTCAAGATTCTTTATGTAGTGGTGTAAGAGAAGATAATTGAAGTTTACGCACTTGTCAGGTACAATAAACTTCTGTAATAGTAGTACAAAATGTTAATTGAAAAGCTGTGACAGTAAGCAGAGCTAGATTAAATAGTTTTGCGCATTTAGTTTACGTGACAGTAAAACGGCAGTGTGACTTAAAGCGGCATATCTTTAAGAGGACTTGGTCTTCAGGAGCAAGTTAGGGAGTGGTTAAATCTTCAGCTAGATACCCGTTTAATCCTCCATGGGTGGAATGTTTTGATGGACCCGTCTCACGCACCAGTCTCTGAAGTTCTTGTCCCAGCTAGACCCCTCTCAGCCTTTCTGCTTAGGCTTCAAGAGTGCCAAAAGAGAGGTTCTACTCTTAATTCGGAGATTATGTTCCCTGCAGGTCTACCCAAAGCTCTGTGAAGTACGACCAACTTGGGGTATAAAATAAAACAGTGCATTGATTGCTTTGTACAGTGTACAGTGCGGCAATAGGCTTTTTTTGCAGAAAATGAAATAGCAACCAGATTTTGAGGCAGGCATTTGTTCAAATAATTTGACTGAGAACCTTAGTTGGCATGCATTTTTTAAACAAAAATAACCGCAGATATACCGAATGATTGTTATATCATGCAAGGTGAAAGCCAAAATAAGGTAAATTTTGCTATTTTCAAGGGCAGGGTACGTTAGTCCCCACACATTTCCGATCTCCAATCTTCATCTTTGTTAACTTGCATTGTGTTGAGGCTGCCAATTTCAAATACATTTGATAACTTTATTCTAAATTTATTTTTCAAGCTACATCAGTGTTGAAATCCAGACATTACAAAACATTTGTTTTCATACCATATTATACTAAGAATAAAAGACAAAACCTTTTTTCTTTTCAGGGGCTATGATAAGATTGAAGCTCCTAGACTAAAATTTCCCACTATAGTATGTTGAGTAGCAGTGCCTTTAATGTACAGCTGATGGGCGGTATATAAGTTCTTCTCCAGTTTCTTAGATTTGCCTATTATCCTGTCCATAACTCTACCTTATAACCCAATGCAAGTGATAAATGAACTTGTTTGATGCCTGTGAATCCTAAAGAATTTCGTGTAGTTTTAAACAGAGTGATTGATATATGAATAATTCTCGAAAAGCTGCAAGTGCCTTCATTCTCAACTTGGATTATCAAGCCTAATTTTCGGATTAGACAATAATTAGGTTCAGAAGCAGACTGTGATCAAATATTCTTCTGCAACATAAACAATGTAATGTATATGATATATAGATTAGCATGCATATACTCGTATTAAGAGATGAATCCCACAACATCTTTATGGTGTGAGCGCGAGTAATGGCCCCTCTTACTGCGCCTTCAGTCTTGAAAGCTCTATTCTGTGGTGTGGCGGCACTCAGAACATGGATAGTAAAATTTCTTAAAGGTTTTACAAAAATCAGTCTTTGATATACCGCAGCCAAGTTTTGAGATGGTTTGCGAAGAGGTTTGAAAAAGAAGAAAATTACAACCAGATAAATTGTTTTGTCTTTTATATGAAATTAAATTAAATTTATGTATATAAAACTGATAATTCAATGCTTTAATCTGCCTTCAGAGCTCAAAAGCTAGCATTTTAAAACTCTAAACTCTAACAGAAATTCCGAATTGTTTAGAATTCCCTTTCAAAGGCCTTGTGTATCAATGAGCTTGGTTTGTAGTGAGGTAAAGACGATTTTATGCAATAGAATGTGTTGAAAAAAACGTGTCACAAAAAAGTCTTTGTTCCCTATGGATGTTAACACGACATAGCAAAGAAGAATGACGCTGTTTTGAAGATATTTCACTACGCTCATAGAAATACACCCATTTGTATTTAGTCTGCAACTGTCTTGCCCATTAGCTAAAGCCCCTCATTAATACTTGATAGCCGATTGCGCGATAAATATCAATAATGACCTCAAAAAGAGAATTAGTGAAAAATTAAATTCATGTTTTCGTCCTAACCTCAAACGGATTTTTCTTTGAAAAGCCCCTTCATTGTTTCCAAGGGAACAGCTGGTCTTGCTGATCACAATGTGTAGCCCTGCACTACTTTAGTTTGACCGCACGCGCCGTTTCATTTGATGTCTTAAGATGGTCACGTGCCAATACATAATACACGAGCTTCATGCCCACTTTGAGCATAATCTGTTCAGAATTTTGAAAAGAGTCGTATTTAATTGGTTTAATCGTCGACATAGAGTAAACCATGTCTAAATTGATAAAAATACATGGCAGATAAGACAGATATCTTCTGCTAGGGCTCTTATTCTAGATAGCTTAGCCGTTAAACCATTTTTCATTGGATAAATCTTAATCGTTTGGGATCAGGAATGCCTTATCTTCTTTTTGCAGCTATTTCTTTAGCAGATGCTTCAGAAAGATTTTTCACATTTCACAACTGAATTTACAACCATGCTTGTTTTGAACTGAAGTTCCCTTATGATAATCGTCTTTAATTTAAGTGATTAACATGATTTTCCATAGCTCAGAGATTCAAATCATTTCCACAAAGTTAATTTTGTTTAAATCATTTTCTGCAGCCATATGGATTTAACAATGAAAGGAGACAGTCTATCATACTTTGCATCTTCTTGCTTTGACTTATCAAGCAACCACTCCTTTAACCAGTTAATTTTTGCTGCTTCTAGCTAATCTAATTTGTTTCTCGTGGTCCACAAGTTTTTATCAACATATGTTATATTTCAGCTGGGCCTGATAAATGTGCATTCTTATACTGCAACTAACTACGCATGTCAAGCTATTCTCTTTGAAGAAATATTCTGAAATATAATGTTAGAGCTATACCAAGCTATATATAGATATAAAACTTTGGTTGCTCAGTGCTTGTAATTGGATAGGATTACATTTTACCTTGATATTATGAATATGCTGAAAAAAGGGTGAAATGAGAGCTGTGGAAACAGTTATCAAAATAGAATATTTCTAATCTTTGTTTAGCCGTTATATATTCTATTAATATAGATGTTGTGTAATTTTGTCAATTATTAGCTTGATTTAGCAATGATAATCAATGAAGTTTTGCGTGTTGTACGACGAAATTAAACAAGGTCTGATACAATAAAATAACGACTTTGTACAAGAAATTATTATTCAGTACGATGTTTTGAGCGTAACTCTTCATCAGGTGATGCTCAAAACACCGTACTAAATATCCACTTCTTGTACAGAGTCGTTATTTTATTTTATCAAAATGTGTTCATTTTGCAATGCCTGAATCAATTATTTTAACCGAGTAAATGAAACTATTTAACTACCAAGAAAAAGATTTCCAAAAAATTAATTTTTGCATCGAAGAGCACTTTTGACTCTGTAATCATCGCATTGGTCGTAAGACGTTCAATCTGCGCATTGTTGCCTAATAAATTTTAAAGTTTGAACAAATATATAATCAATCATGCTAAAAAGCAAAAGATCAAATATGCTCGAAGCTTATTGTTTGTCGTAAGCAGGTGCTTCCATTTGCTTCGCGTCCACATTGCATTGTTTAAGCGTCACGTCAAAGCACGCGACACAAGTGAGATAAAGAATAATTTAGAGATGATGGCAATGACAAGATCGCAAATTTACTAGAAATTATACGCGTATCAAACAAAGGATGCTTTTGTTTTATCATTGATTAGAAAATGGGTTGCAGGTGGTGATTTTTTAGGTGACTGAAATGAAAAACTACCTCTTCTTCTTAGAAATTCCGTAAACTATAGTGCAGCTGCTCAACTATCGCGAGTTGCACCTGCAACTTTGCCGTCAGTCGCAAAGGAAATTCCCCTACTCTACCTAGCATAATTTGTTTCAGTGAAGTTGTAATGCAATAGAAGAATTTTCACGAAAGAACAAGGCTTAGAAGATAGATATTTTGGAGCCAAAAGCGTACTTCCTACATCTAGAAACTGATCAAAGAAACTTTGAGATTAAAGGTGGCATCTTCAAGTCTGGAAGTGTCCCCTGGCTTGGTGCATCCCAAGTGAAACCTGATTCATCCCTTTTCAATTTGAAGATGGCAAGAAGTAGCAGTAACATAGCACACTTCAAGTTATATTAGTATACTATATTTATATTAAGTACTCATAGTAATATCAGTATAATATAATATGGATACATAGCGTAAGTGAAGTTACATCAGTATAGCATGGTTCCATAGCATAGTTATATTAATATCAGTATAGTATATGGTTTGTTTCTGCTATTTCATGCAAATTTCAAATTTCAAATCAATGCCGAAAGCTTTTTTGGTAAAAAACTGGCCTGGAGGTATGCATTTCTGTGTGACTTAGGAGAAATCTGCGTAAGGAATTAAATTTTTTTCGGGAAAGAGAAGCGTCAAGGGAGAATTTATAAAGAAGATCTCAAAAAGAGTTAGTTTCAGCTCAACAAGGGGTATGGAGCCGTAAAAGACATTCCTTACTCTGAAAATCACACTATTTTATACAGAATTCAGAAAACCAGACGCTTATTTTGATGAATAAAAAGGGAATTTGCTTACGTTTTCAATACTTTAATGTTTCTTATTCATTTGTTATTGGCCATTCAGTTGCGGTTTCAATCATAACAAAGGGGTATTGAGACTTCTGTGCATCTGTCTCTTTGGCTTTCTTTTTTCTTTTTCCCCACTGATACTGAAAAGATTTTTCTTTGGTATTGAAACAACTAGTCATTAGCTTCAATGTAATATAAATTTATAAATTTGTATAAAATTAACTTGTCTATGGAATGGAGCACATTGTTAAAGCAGAATAAATGTCCTCGTGGAACATTGTGACACTGATAAATAAAGTTATTAAACCAGTCTTAAGCAGTAAGCAATTACCAAAAGAATGCATTGCTCGTTCAATTTCTTGTTAATGAAGCTAACAATCCTTATAGTGTATTTTTCGAAGACACTTGTCCTTTTATAGCCATAGAAAAAATTCTCTAATGATTACAACAATAACTGAAACTGTCATCTGTCGTTTTCATTAAAGCAATGTTCAATGTCTCCAACATGCTTTTATCATCCATATGTCGCTAATAGTTTCATTATTCTGTAACCAAAATCAAAAAAATTAGCTGCTATAAACGCACGTTGTCGTGCAAGGCTTCTGTTTGGAAGATGAAATGTTCATAATAATATTGTACACGTTATTATTATAAATAAAGATAATAACATACATGACTTTCGTTGTAATTTGCTGCAAAATCCCCAAAACTAGATATTGCAGTTTATGAAGATGCAAGCAAAAGAATAGCTCAGAATGAAGCATATTAATGAATTTGGAACAGATCAGGCATGTATTAAGTAAGAAGGCTTTAAATAGACCTACACAGGTGGAATTGTGCTGGTTATTATTGCTATTTCTATGCTTGCTGACTTTTATGTTAAATGTCTCTAATAGGTTATAGCTTTCAATGCTGTATTTGAAATGAAGAAAGTTTAAGGAGAATGAAAATGAAGAAAGGGAAGGTATTTAATGAATGTTTTCCTCTGACACGTAGAGGTGGATTTA